ATCAATGCAAAAGGGGCTTACTTTTAAAAAAATGCAGGTTTTCTTCAGCTGTTGATTATTTTAACTTTTATGGAATCAGTCTCAATATATATATATAATATATATATATATATATATATATATATATATATATATATATATATATATATATATATATATATATATATATATACGCCCGGCTCTTTATACTTCTATTAGACTACACATATTACTGCTTTTTTCGTCCTTCTTAGGACGTTATTTTTTGTTATTCGAAGCCCCACTCTGGCTTTTGCCAGGGGGGGCCGCAATATAGGCAGGTCAACATTATGGCCAAATGTCTGAACGCGTGTTTTCTGGGACCTCTCCACGGTGATCCTCATCCGCATGGTGGCACTTTGTGTCATCGGGTGTTTATCGCTTGTGTGATGTCCTGGTGGGGTAAAAAATCCAATCCAATCCTTAACTACACCGGATTGCGCGGATACCGGGTGACGAACTCCTTGTGGTCCGGGTTCAATCCCGCGGGTAGGCACGAAAGCCACAATTCTCCCAGATTTACGGTATTTACAATGGAATCAAGGCCGAAAGGTTGCGATATCCATAATACCGAGCCTAAGGGTTAACAACGCTTGGCTTCTGGATACTAAAACAAACAAACATATATATATAATTATGCAAACTACTCAACATTAACGACAGTATAAACAACTATACATAACCCATACTAATGAACAAAACACAAAAGCTCAATAGAAGGAAGGGAACGAATAGATGCATACATACATCAATTATACGTGTTTCGTCCTTTTTAGGACGACATTTTTTTTTATTTGAAGCACCACCCTGGCTTTTGCCAAGGGCCGCAAAATAGGCAGGCCATAAAATGGCCAATTGTCTGAACGCGGTTTCTGAGACCTCTCCACGGCGATCCTCACCCACATGGTGGCACTTTGTGTCATCGGGTGTTTATCGCTTGTGTGATGTCCTAGTGGGGTAAAAAGTCAGTTAGTCAGATGCATACATATAGCTGAACGTTTCAATCAGTAAAAGCAGAAAAGCAACATAATCATAAACAACCAGAAGGGTCAGAGCATCAGAAAGGCAAACAAAAAGGGACATTTGCGTATCTTTTTTTTGGGGGGGGGGGGTGAGGGGGGGTGAGGGGGGGGGTGAGGTGGGGGGGGTGAGGGGGGGGGGTGTGAAGGGAGGTGTTCCTTTATAATGGTATTTTTTTTAGAGTCACTGCACTGGGAACATACAATAACACATGTAGTTTTATTACATCAGGTGGCTGTCTGTGCTGGCTGTGACTCGATGAGACCTTGGGGAGCACCCATCGTTGGGTCTATAGCTGCTATTGCCTTCAACATCACTTCCTGGTTGATGTGTAAAATCAAGCTTGATGATCCTGTAGATGCTGTAGCAGGTAACTAGTGCACAGTATTATATATTTATGGAGCGTTAGTTGTTTGTTCAATTTTTTTTTTTTTTTTTAAACTGGTTTGTTTGTTCACCTTCTTGTGGAATATCTTCCACTGCTGTCTCCTGCTCCACTTTATGCTCCTCCCCTTCTCCTCCTCTTCTTCTTCTTCTTCTTCTTCTTCTTCTTCTTCTTCTTCTTTCTTCTTCTTCTTCGTTTTGCTCTTTTCTTCCTTCTTCTTCTTCTTCTTCTTCTTCTTTTCTTCTTCTTCTTCTTCTTCTTCTTCTTTCTTCTTCTTCTTCTTCTTCTTCTTCTTCTTCTCTTCTTCTTCTTCTTCTTCTTCTTCTTCTCTCTTCCCTTCCTCTTCATTTTTCTTCTTCTTCGTCTCCTCCTCCTCTTCTTTCTTCTTGCTTTTCTTCACTTTCCTCTTCTTTCTCTTTTATACTTACTCACACACTCCCTTGCACACAAAACGCACAAACACTACACACACACACACACACACACTCACACACAAACTCACACTCACACACACCTCTCACACACATCCTATATATATATATATATCCTCCTATATATATTCATATCATATATATATATATATATATATACACACACACACTCCACACATATATATACATGTTTTTACCTGTATATATATTTATAGAGAGAGGAGAGAGAGAGAGGAGAGAGAGAGAGAGAGAGAGAGAGAGAGCTACCCATTGCGAACCCTGCTATCCTAATACTCCGGTTACAGGGTTCTATCCCACCTATAATCTGTTTGGCAGCTCCTTCCACCTTGCATCCTTCTCAGCCTGGTACTTCTAGGTGACCATTAAGAGAGCAATGGCAAACCAGTAAACATAAAAATTGTCACAAATAGCTTTGAGCTTTATGCACACCTCCACACACACATGCGCACACACACTCTCATAACTGTATCAGTGCTGTTGACAATAAAGAAAATTACACGTTAATTTATGCTTATAAAATCTCAGTACTTCTTTCATCCTCAGGTACCCTTCTCCTGCATAGCCGTTCTTCCATTTCATCTCTCCTCCTCTCTCTTCTCCTCCTCCTCAATCTCCTCCTCCTCCT